TTAAATTTGTGTATTATAAATGTATAAGGATTTTATAAGGTGTTGAGAGCAGAGTTTACTTTTTAAGCACCTTGAAATTCTCTGGAGGCCTTCCAATTCTAACAACAACAACAACAAAAAATCTTAGTTTCATAACTATTTTGAAAATTTGAAGATGTATGTGATAAGACCATTAAACACCTGACCCTGTGTAATGAGAAATTTATAAATGTGGTCAGGTAGTTCATTGTTTTGCTAGTCAATGGATTGAAATAATAAGAATTAATTCAGTAAGGCAGGAGGCTGTAATGAATGGATTTGTGATCTGGATATGGCTTGATGATCACAGGTTTAAAGGTTTAGCACATTCTTCTTGTAGTTTTCAGAGTTAGCATAAATTAATTTTTATTTAAACCATAGGATCTAAATTGGAAACAATGTATAAATGAAATTTGAATGTAAAAATTATAACATATATTGAATTAACTTTCTATTATTACTTTTTGAAAAATCATACCTGCTGATAAGCTTATAAAATCATTGAATTTGAGTATTTTTTGTGTGCCAGTTTTTTCAGTGTATTACCTATATAAAATATAGTTTGCGTGTGTATTAGGAGGAAGATCACTAGAAATTCCTCTGTACTACCCTTTTCATTTATTTTCTGTATTATTATGGAATTGTTGAAACGAAGAATTGGAAGTGCACATTTCCAGAATTTGTTTGAAATTTAAAAAAAAAAAAATTATTTTGCATGTTTTTTTATTACAGAAATAATGCAGTTAATTTTCCATCATGCGATATCAGATTGCTTTTAAGTAAATAAAAATTTCAAATTCATTTACATTCATTATGTAGTTGATTACTATCACCAGCATATCTTGGTGTGTCCAGATAAAATGCTAGAATGCTCTTAATATTAAGATTGACATGAAAACTTTAATTCAAGTATTTTTAGACTTTATTTAGATATGAATATCTTAGTTACATCATGCCAAACTGAATTAATGTCTGGGAAGTTATTTTATTATCGACTATCAAATCATAGATACTACAGTAAAAGGTTTTTATTATACAGCAATTAACAGATAGTCTGAAAAAGTGTGCAGAGCTCATATTATATATTAGAATAATAATTGACTATTCCTTGTAGTTATGTCAATATAACATATCTGCAAAAGATTTGCACATTTTTTGGTCTTTATATCACTTTGAAGAGTACGAATATTTTTTAAAATTGATTTTAAGATTATCATTTTGCAATTTATTTTATTGGGGGAAAAATTCAAAATAGATATATACTGAAAGTTAAATGTGCTGTGGCTATAGCTCTGTTATAGCCACAGCACATTCTATATGTTAGAAATCTTTTAATGATCTTATTTTACAGATATACTTATCAATATGTTTGTCAATATAATTACTGTGTCTCAATGAAAAATTGTTTCATAATTTAATTTTGAAGACAGCTATGTCCAAAATATTAAAGCCAGTAAAATCAATACAAGAATATGAATTCAGTTACTAAATACAAGTATGTCTGTGTAATTGTGATTTTTGTGCTTAGAGGTGTAAAAATTTTAGTTTATTTCAAATAGGGAATATAAAATCATCTTGCTCATTTTGTATTATATAGTGAAATGGCATTTTTTGCCGAGCTATCTAAGTGAGAAGAATTGTGCTTATTACATCAAAAAGAACTCTACATTAGATAATTGTTAACTAGGGTTGATGGTCTCAAATTGATGGCCACTGGAGCAAATTTACGTGATCCGCCAATACATTTCACTTATGTGCACTTGTGTGTATGCCAGTAGACCCATTGTTTGCATCTTGCTTACTGCAGCATACAAGAGAGCACATTTGCAGACAACATGTGCCATGGACCAGCCAGTGGAGTATCGTGCTTTTTGCAGATGAGTCGAGATCAAGCCTGATTCTTGGTGTATTTGTATCTGGAGAGAGTTTGGACAGTAATACCCTCCCTTATCAGGAAAAAGGCTCCTTATGATAATGAAGATGTAGTGGTTTGGGCAAATGTTATGTCAGATGGCTATACATATCCCTGCATGTGTTTGACAAAGGCTTCGACTTGTATGATGTATAAAAAGGAGATTTAAGAGCTCTGCGTAAAACTTGTAAGGGCTTCAGTTGTTCTCAAGTTCCTGCTAATGGATGACAACGCTTGTCCACATAAGGCTCAACTGGTCACGGTTACCTGGAAAATGTTAATATTCTCCACATGGACTGGCCAGCTAGATCTGACCTCAACTCTGTAGAACTTGTATGGGATACTCCTGTTAGGGCAGTTTCATCTCATCCTCCTCCTCCAACAACCATTCTGTCAAGTTGAAAACTGCTTTGCTTCAGGAGTGTGATGGACTGCCACAGGCACTCTTCAGCTGCCTTTTGTTGAGTATGCCATCAGGCTGTGTGACCTGTTTGGCTCTGAGAGAGGACCATAATGCATATTACTCATTTTCAGTTTGATATCAGAATGTGAATTTCGAATATCCATGCACTATGAGCTTTATTGATTATCATGGATACATAAAATTACTTTTGAATAGTACATCTCTTTCTCTGTTATAAATGTATATTCATACCAATAGTCGTTAAAATCTGCCCATTAGTTTTCCAGAAATTCAGTATATAATTTGCAAATTTTCTTAATTTTGTACACAAGAGTGTATTTGTTTTAATAGTGCTTATAGATTTCAATAGAGCATAAATTCATTGCCAATAGCTTGCAATATAGTTTTTATTAAAAATCTGAAAAGCAATTTGGCAGCCATTACATTCCAACTGAGTTCAAAGCTAACGCTGGCACACAATGAAAAGTGCATTTGTAACTTATATGGCAGTGCTTGACAGATTCAGAAAAGGTAAGGGAGAAAAAGAACATTAGTCATTGTATCTTAGAAAATGGAAATTTAAAATATAAATAAAACGGTATTAGAGTCATATGTATTGTGTTTGTGTCCACAACTGCTATTGAAGTAGAATAAATATATTTATGATGTCGGTTAAATGAAAAAAATTATAAGCTTTGTTCGCTTCCATGCAAGGCCCATGACTAAGATGGGACATCAGTGCAATCAATAACTATTTGCCAGCCAACAGTTGGTAGAATTTTTATATTCTAGTGTCCATTTTCCCTGCCCATATGAGTTGACACTTTTGCTTTCCTTGATTCAGTCATTGGTTAATAAACTAGATGTACAAGCTATGCAATTCAAATTGCTAAGCAGAAGAGACAGACTAAACATCATGCTTGTAAAATCCCTTACTTCTACTAGTTGTTAGATCTACATTAAATTAATATTAGTCATTTAAAGTTGCAAAACATTTGAATGTTGTTATATGAAAATTCATCTTGCTAAGTTAAAGTTGCAAATAAAATTATAATTTTGATTTTAATTAAGAGACTAAACTGCAAGCAATGTCTTTAACCACTTGCCTGATTATCCTGAGTTATCTTGGGTTCGTATATACTTTAGTTTATTATTATGCGAAAACTCGGGCGAAGCAGAATTTGTCAGTACGATTTGTTTTATCACGGTTTTACTTGGCCTGGAGAAAATGAAAGGAAATATTCAGCTTTGATTGGCAGTTTACCAAGTTTTGTTGGTTTCGTGGTTCTTTTGGCGGGACTGGTCACATGTTTTCCCTATTGTATAGTATATGTTGGCTTATGGATTAGTAATGTATAAAGAAGGATAGTTGCAGTAAAAAAAGTAAAATAATGGCGATGATGCAAGATAGCGAAGCGATGATTTTTGAGATTCAAGGCATTTTTCAGATGTTATTCCTGCTACTGAAAAAAAAAAATCAAACCCAACAAGACGGTGTACTCTGTGATTCCATAAAAGAGATTCCAGAGGTAAGGCAGTAAGGAAAGAGACCAGATAACAGTATACAGAATGTCAGGTATCATTTTGTGTTGTCCCTTGTTTCAAAAACTATCATACAAAGACTAATATTTAACTTTTTTTTCATTTGTCTGGGATAACTCGTTCATTTCCTTGTATTTAATAGTAAAGTAAAAAAAGTGATGATTTTTTGCAATTTTTTTTTCAAAAGAATCTGTAAGGAAAGTGGTTTACAAAAGGGTGAAAGAAAAGTGATAGAAGAAGCGCATGTTTTTCAAGATTAATGGGAAATTAGGTACTTTTTGGTGGTGTGCACAATAAAAGTGTCTGCTTGATTTATAATAAGGCAATATCAGTTCCAAAAATATACAACTTCTGTTTGCCATTATGAAACAAATTTAATAATTTTTTTTTTTTTTTTTAAAGGTAAAGTGAGAAAGTAAAACTTACACTTTTTAAAATTTGACTTAATAACAAAATGCTTCTATTGAAGCAACTAAATTCAGTATTTAGTGTAACAACAAACAATTCATTGAAGTTTTGCTCAGATGCACAACATTGCAAAAAGATCAAAACCATTTATTAGTCAAGAATTTATTAAAGATTTTTTGAATAAATCTTTTTAATTTCTGTATCCTGACAAACAACAACTGTTTAAAATATTAGTTTGTCAGCCAACAGGATGTAGTGGAATGCATGAACAAGATTGGTTGTGATTTATGATGTTGGTTAAAAGAAAAAATTATAAGATTTTCTAAACATCACGGGTATAGCTGAGTTTGCTGTTTTCGTAAGATATTATTAAAGGGGAAAATCTTAACAAAATTTTACAGGTTTTGCATTTATTGATTATTATATTTTAAAATTTCTTAACAAAATTTTACAGGTTTTGTCTTCAGTATGTGCATTTATTGATTATTATATTTTAAAATTTCAACTAGCAATACTTCTATATTTAGTGCTTATTAATTTTTTTATTATTATTTAATAATATATAACAACAGTGTTTACTTGGAAATTGTCCTAGTGCCAAAATTTTTTACCTAAAATGTTTCTGCTATTAAGCAACAACTAGAATTTTGGGGGGGGGGACTTTTTCTTTTGGGCAAATTGACTTATTAATAATTTTCATCTTTTTACTTACTGCAGGATGCTGTCCATGCTTGGAGTGGTGGCTTGGATTGCCAAGTCAAAACATTTGATTTTAACTCAACAACTGGTAAGATGATAGTTTTATTTCTCGTTTATATTTTTACGTACAAGGTTTATCTGCTTTATTATTTCATTATTTAGGTGATGATTTTTGTTATGCTTTCTTGTAATTTTTAGTGTAATATTCACTGATTTTTACTTAGCTTATTTCAAATGTATTTTTAGTTCTTTAGTCTTGTGATTAGTTTTTATTGCAAAGCTGAGCTTCAAACTTGCGTCACATAAGCAAATTATGAACCATCATTTTAGGGTCTTTATAAAATGTGACCCTGTATAAATATTAGAGAAATACATGGCCAGAAGTTTCATATTGGTGTAAATGTTGGTAATTTTCCAGAATTAAAAATAATACAAAAAAGTACCAGATATGAAAAGTCAGAATAAGAGAGAAGTTATGTAAAAAATCACCATTACATGCTTATATAACACATTTTCAACTGACAAGTTAAAATCAAACTTGCATTATTCAGTTAAAATAAAATTTTGCTTCATTTTATTAATCTTGTGTTAGCTGGTAGAATAACATGTTTAAGATTTTTGATCAGATAATGATTCGCAGCATGTCACTTTGACTGACTGTAGTAATGATGCTATTTACATCCACAAATGCAGTTTTTGATTTGATTATACAGTGGGCAATAACTCAAGAACTACTTAGTAAAGACCTATTTGTTGAGCCATTCTCTCAGACAGGTGATAAGGTGTTTCTCCTGTCTTCTTGGCAAGCCTTCGTGGTGTATTTGTCTGCATGCTCAGCGCGTAATTGAGAGGTCCGTGCATATTTTTTCATCTTTCCTGCTTTTAAAATACACTGCGAAAAAAGGGGATAGTTCTATATCTCCTGTTCTACTGGGCCGATTGACAAAATTCAAATTGCATTTTTCATGTCTCGAAAGTGCGACTTAGGATATGTATTAGATTTATAGTATATAGCACTATTCTAACATAGGTTATTTTGACACAAAATCAAACTTTTTCTAAATAACATACCAATTTTTTTATGTATTTCGATTCTATGACTCAAATTGTGCCTAAATATAAATTTTGTAAAATTTGGTGTGGAATTTATGGAGAAATTAAAAAATTTATATTGGCACTTTTTTTCATTTTGCGCCAAGAATAGTTCACTTGGCGAACTTCTTAATATATGGCTAGCAATTTTCCTTTCGCTTTTTTACATTGTGTGTGAGAGGGAAAAAATGTCACATTGTTCTTTCTTTCAAATAATGTTCTTTGTACTGTATTTTTATGTTATTATTTTAAATATTTTTCTTTTTCAAATTTCATTTTAATTGTTTAAGTTGCATAATTTCTTTCAAATAACTGTTTAAAAAATTTCTATTTACTCATTCAAACTACGTAGTGTAAATAAAAGGTGCATAATTTATTATTTTTTCAAATTTTTTCTTTATACTATACTTTTTTAGGCATATGTATAACTTTTGGTAATTTTTAGACTTTTTATTTAAATTTTTTGTGTTGCATTGTCTGTTCAAATAAGCGTTTTTAAGTTTTCTATTTATTCATTCAAACTGCACATTTTAAATATATTTATTAATATAAATTTTCCAGAATTTGATTTTATTGATTTGAATTGTGTTTCTTTTGGAAGAATACTTTGTGACCCGGAATACAGTGCATTTGGAAACTGCATATATTAAAAGAGAAAATGCAGTAAAGCACAGTTAACATGGCTTTCAATGTTCTGTTCAGAAAAGATATATATAAATAAGAGAGATATATAACCGACATTAAATTAAATTGCGACGCCGCAATAAATTAAATTGCACGTGACATCGTCGTGGGCTGTATAGATGCAAAATTTTAACCTAAGTCTTTATATATGACATACCAGTTAAGAAAAATGCATGAAATGAAACCATAACTCAAAAATAAATTAAAGGTAAGAAATGTGGAAAAATATATTTACCTTCACGTAAACTTATAATTACCCACTAAAGAAGTCCATATTTGTAATGTTTGTAATGTAATGTGTAATGTGTTGTAATGTGTTGAAGTCCATATCTCAGACTATATTATAAAAAAATGCTGCAACAACGAAATATTAAATTTGGATGACAAAAGGAAATTTTAAATCTTACTTACAAAAGGAATTACAGCAAACTATACATCATATGAAGCTATCAAAACCTGATTCTTCACTATCTGAATTAAAAAGATTTAGTAAATCCTGATCTAAGTCCAAGTATTCCAGATCATTCATCCTCTTGGTTTACAGTCTCTTTATCTAAGGATATAATTTCAGCTTCTTTGAACCCTGCTATTATTGACGATGTTTTTTTACCGATTTCCACGCACTTCGTACCCACTTTACAACTTTTTTATAAGATGTTCTACGCATTTTACCGCTTTTGGTATACGTATGCAATCCTTCACTCATCCAACACTCCCACCGCTTTCGAATTTCAGCTTTGAAGGATTTATTACCTGACAAATCTAACGGTTGTAAGATTTTTGTCAAACCACCAGGAATTATTGCTTCGATCGTAGACAATTTTTGACATCTGGTTTTCACTGACTCAATCAAATGAGCACGCATGGAATCCATTATCAGTAACCCTTTTGGTTGGAAAAAAGATCCTATACGACACTGCCAAACTTTTTGTAGCCACTTATGCATGATTGTTTCACACATCCAGCCGTTCTCGTTTGCACAAATAATTACATCATTAGGAAAATTTCCCTTCGAATAGTCTTTCGTTTAAAAATGATCAATTGCATTAGCTTGTTACCGTTTGAATGTCACAAGCATGAATACTTGTGAGCACATCATTTACAGAGCTTGCTTCTCAGATGACAACTACCATTATAATTTTGGTGTTATTAACCAGATCATGCTTCTAGTTGTACAACTGTGGGAAGATGATTTATCTTATGTGGGGATAACATCTAGAAGATTGCTGTGGCCCCATAGAACTTCTTATAGGTACAGATGTAGCTGGTAAGCTAATGGCAGGAAAATTTGTAAAGACCTAAATCTGGCCTTTCTGCTGGGGAAACAAAATTCGGTTGGACGGTTTTGGGTCCTATCAGCCGACATTTACAGCAGACTATAAAACCTTGTAGTTACTTTGATGTTAGCCCTAGATGTACAAATTGCAAAAAATAGGAAAGCTTTTTAGCAAAAATGAATAAGTGAAGCTGATTTCGATGCTCTCAGTTTTCTATCGAGTATATCCCAACGAAAGGAAATTTTTAGACACTGTTGAGATATAGATGTTGGGAAACTGGGGGAAAAAAAAAAGAAAATAAGTAATAATGAAGAATCTTTCCAAAAACTTGTTAACAAACAGTTCATGGAAAAACAAGGCTTTCTTCTCGGTATGATTTCTCTTCTCGAGATAAATTGAAAATAATTCCTTTCATTAGTGAAACAAAAATTAAAGAAGAACCTCCTGATGAGGCAGTGTTGATCCTGCATTTGAAAAGCACACTGAACCTCAGTTACCCTTAAGCATTGCTGAAACAAGGAAGTTGCTAGCAAAATTAGGTTTAAAGCAATTGGATGTAGGAAATGAGATTCTAGGTCTAAATCAGGATAGTGCAGAAAAATGCGTTAGTAGTAAACTTGTGAACGTTTTTGTTAAAACTAAAAACATCAGTGAAGTGAAGAAATCTGAAGCCGTCTGAGATAAATTAAAAGTCAGAAAGGAAAAGTGAATAATAGAAGAAAAACTAAGAAAATCAAAAGATAGTGCTGATTCTGATTCAGAGGAGGAATCTTCAATTACTTAGGCTATTAACCCTCACACTGCGTACTTTTTTTTTTTATCAGAATAGGTTCAAAAATTGCATATTTTTATTACATATTTCAAATATACATATTAATTAAGTTATACAAAAGTTGTGGTACTTATGTATTATCGCAACCAGGTTGGCGCGATTTGTAAGTTTGAGTAAAAAAGTATGAATAGATACAAAATGTACATTTATTAATTACAGATAATTTTTAATACAGTTTTTTTATATTATTTTGTTTTAAAATATAAAATAGCAATTAAACCCTTCCGGTTCCGAATTTGAATAAGTTGCAGAATTATTTTTTCGGCGGAAATCTTTTGGCTATTGCTTTTAGCACTGATTGAAAACCATCTTCGCCATTAACAGCTTGAGCTTGGCGCCATATAAATTCGATAAGGTATAGTTAAGGATAAGTTTTGTCAGCAATTCCCATCTCTTCTGCACAAAATTTAATTGAGGTTAACTTTTTACACCAACAATAAATGAAGCGCACCGCTGTCACAAATGAAATTCGGCTACCTTCAAACCAATTTCCGGTTCTCACACCCAAATGTTGATTGCACTCTTTGACCTTACATTTCCAGAAGATTTGCTTTCCAAAATAGTTTCATTTTATGAGAATTTTTACAAGTACGTTCGTTTGGTATAATTCCATATCCCTGCAACAATTCAACAGTATCTTTTTCACTCGCAGGCAGATCCCAAATACCCATAGTTAAAGTATTTCAGGGCATTCAATCTAACCAGTAAGAAAAATAATTTTAAGAAAAACTACATATAACACGTAGGGTTGTCGTAAGTAGGGTCGCCAAATTTGGCGATTTATGCGAATTTTGGCCTGGTTGCGTTAATACGTAAGTACCAAAATTTTTTGTAAAAGAGTTTTTTTTTTTCTTTCAATATAGAATTAGATAATAGAAAAAGGTTGTCAGAATACTGAAATTGAAGACTAATGATATAAAAGGAAAATTTTGAAAATTAATATTAGTTAAATTATGATCTAGATTATAAAATACAAAGGTAAAACATATATGCTAATGAAAATATTTGCATAATGTAGTATTTTGCATATCAATTTTGCACCACTGTTGAACGTCTTCAATAGAAACTGAATTTTCAGATTCATCACTATCTGCAGAGGAATCCGAAAAATTTTCATCAGTTTCGCTACAACTGTCTTCAATATACTTGAAATCGGACTCAGAATTACTATCAGTGTTGGAAATATCATCAGGAATATAGGTT